CCATATGGCAAGGTATCTGGCCACACATGGCTGGATCATGTTGAGTGTGGGAAGAGGAACAGCTCCTTTTGGCAGTGCCCCTCTGCTCCCTGGAACCCACAGTCCTGTGATGACCAACGAGAAGAGACCCACATCACCTGCAATGGTAATGCTGGAGCCACGTGGTCACAAAGCTCACAGCAGCTCCCTGTTCAGCAAGGCACAATGTTGAGAAGGGGTCTGGAGTGGCTTTTACTTACCATCTCAGACCATTCTGCTGTCAATGACACAAATACAACATATCCAGGAGCAGTAGCTGCCCTGAGCTACCCACATGGCCAACGAGGGGAAGAGGCACATGTACCCTCCACCTCACCTTGGTGGTCTCTTCTACCTCACCTTGGACACCTCTCGGAGGTGCCAGTTGCTCTTTGCTGCCCATACACATGGCCCAGACAATCACCTTTTAGCTTTGGAAGTCCATGCAGAGCATTCCACTCATGTCCATGGTTTGCTGAGGGAATGGGACGGGGGAGAGAGAATGCGGTGCTGGTGACTCAAGGTTATGTAGGAACCGGGCCGTGCCCAGGGCAGTGCTGACACGGGAGCTCAGAACAGTCTCCTTCGGTGCCCTCCTAACTGGCCCTGTGTCTGTGTTTGAAGGTGCTGCGGAGGTGAGGCTAGAGGATGGAGACAGCCGCTGTGCTGGAAGAGTGGAGGTGAAACACCAAGGCCAATGGGGGACCGTGTGTGATGATTACTGGGACATGGAAGATGCCGCTGTAGTTTGTAAGCAGCTGGACTGTGGGTCTGCTCTCCAAGCCCCTCAGAAGGGATATTTTGGGCCAGGATCAGGCTCAATTTGGCTAGACTCTGTAGGGTGTCAAGGCACCGAGACTGCCTTGTCTGAGTGCACACATCGTGGTTGGGGTAACCATTACTGCAATCATGGTAAGGATGCCGGAGTTGTTTGTTCAGGTAAGGATTCATCCAGTTCCCCACCTCTGGGGTCAGGGGACTAAGTGGGCTGTACCCTGAAGGAGTAATGTATGGGTAACTCTCACTGCCCATCTGCGGCTGTTGCTGCTGCTGTCTCTGGGGAAAGGCCCAGGTGAGCCCACCACAGGGTGCACATCAAGGTCCTGGGGGCTCATCCCACAATCAGTTGGTGCCTCAGGCTAGGAGATGAATTCCCCCCCCTGCCCTACAGGGTCTAGGTCTCCATCAATCTCCTCAGGTTCTTCCAGGACATTTCTCGCAGCGCTGGGTGTCCCTGTGCCCCACACCTCAGGATGACTTGCTTGGCACCCCATGGCCAGGGAAGTGGTACGAGAGAGCCAAGGCTCGTGGAGTCATTCCCCTCACAGACGGGAGTTTCTTGGCTGACCCAAAGGGGCTTTTCAGAGGAGACAGGAGCAGAGCCTGGAGCAGAGAAGAAGGACAATGAGCAGGGTATTCCTTGTCCAGGGCCACACCACAAGGATCAGTCCCCCATGAGCTCTGGGTTGGTGTCTGTGCTGCTGGCTGCTCCCACCCACATCATTACAGGCTCAGGCTGGTCCTGCTGGGTCCGTGTCACTGACAGTCCCAACAGTGCAGGATACCTTGGGAAGAGGCAGCATTTAGGGCTGCTGAGGCAATTTCCCAGTCTAGCTCTGAGCTCTGCAGGGCTGAACAGGCTGCAGCAACCGTTAGGGCTGTGGTGCTGGGGAGCTGTCCTGGGCAGTGAGGCAGCCTCTGGGGCAGCAGCGTTTCCCTGAGTGGTGCCTGTGCTTTTCGGTCTGTGATTGAGACAAGCTCCAGAGCACTGTGTGGATGTGAGAAGAGGTGCAGGGGATGTTGAATGGTTTCTGTCGTCAAAACCTACTGAGAGCTGCTGTTTGACAT